TTTTGTTTTGTTTTGCTTTTGTTTTGTTTTTGTTTTTGTTTTTGTTTTTGTTTTTTTTTTGTTTTTTTTTGTTTCTTCTCCCTGATGCTTCTAGGTCTGTAGGCTGGTCCGCGGGACATCCGTTGAAATTGGAACGATACAGAGAAAGAAGATTAGCATGGCCCCTGCGCAAGGATGGGAAAAACAAAAACAAAAAACGGTGTGTAGGCTGATCAGGACATTCTGAATTCCCACCTCGCCGCGTCCCCCCCTCTCTTCCAAAAAAAAAAAAAAAAAGAAGAGGAAAAGAAAAAAAAAGAAGAGATCACAAGGTTTGTTTCTCATTCAGCACGGAGCAACCTTTGCCAAATTTCATCGGTGCCCATCAACCCACCGTCACATTGATGCCGTCGGGCGCAACGCGAATTCTTCCCCGCAGTCCCAACGACGAGCAAAGATCTCCCATCCAGTCACACACTCCTTGAAGGTCCTCTGTCGGTATCGCGACATACTTGTAATACAACAACACCCCTTCCCTCGTGTCCGTATTCGTTTCCGTCTTCTCCATCTTCCCAGCTCTCTCTCTCTCTCTCTCTCTCTCTGTGTGTGTGTGTGTGTGTGTGTGTGTGTGTGTGTGTGTGTGGACGTGAACGGGGAGCTTGTGGACCACCTACATCGCTCCCCGTTTTCTGTGAGCCCTCGATTAATACTCAGCCTATCCGTCATTCGATCGTTAGCCCGCCGAGCGGCCAATCAATCAGACATTTCCTGACTGATGAACACAATAACAAACCAATCACGATTCCGTCCTACCGGCGTCTAGATGGGCTGGGCTGCAAACCACAGAGGGTATCACCATTCACAAAAACCTATCAGATCGGTTCAAGATCGCCATTCAATCAAGACACCCTCCCCCCCATCTCAGCAGACACCCTCACCCCCATCTCAGCATTCAGCACAACCGGGAAGGCCCAACAACATCCTAGACACAACATGAGAGTGTTCCCCAAGCTTGTGAAACAGGAGGCTATGGACGGACACAAATAAGAAATAAGCACCCCCCTATAACCCCCCCCAACTCCCCCCTTGACACACACAACTCCTGATGACTCTGTGAAACTCCGACGAAACTGTCTGTCACAGTCATGCTTTTTCTTGGAGTTGATGTTGTTGTTGTTGTGATCAGTGTAGTGGTGTGCATAGCGGACATGACAACACACACATACAGAGAGAGAGAGAGAGAGAGAGAGAGAGAGAGAGAGAGAGAGAGAGGGAGGGAGGTCTGCCGAGCAACCAAACACGGTTAGACACTACCTTCTTCCCCCGAATACAAGGTTTGGTCATTATAGTTGTATCTAGACAGAAAGATGTGTCAAATACAGCTATAATGACCGGACGTTGTATTCGGGGGAAGACGGTAGCAGGGGACTTCCGGTCGCAGCCAGCGAAGCAGATTTTGTTGGAGGAAGCAAAGCTTGCACGATCGATCGGAATGGAATACTGGAGACAAAAAAAAAAAAATGCTGGAGACACAGTAGGAAGGCCTGGCCTTGGCTGGAGGGTTACTACCGGTCCTGCCGCGACTACCGGTAGGTAACCCTTCAATACATGTTCTTGCTCTCTTGCTACCTTCAGGGCATTTCACACTAGGACTTATCTAAATGAATTTTTGAGTGTAATTGTGTAATTACGGCAAGACCCTGATGTATCTGACCACAATCACGTCCAGAGCTTAGTACAAAAAGTCCTACTGTGAGTACGCCCTCAGTTACTTCGGAGAGGACATAATACGCCCACCGTCCAAAAAAAAAAAAGACGCCGTCCCTATTCCTCAGTTGACGTCAGCAGGCCGGTGTCCCCGCAGGTGGTAAGAGATCGACCTACGATATCAAAGAGATCTTCGACCCCACCCTCAAGGTTGGCACGCCTTCGCTCCATCCCGTCTGCTCGTGATTCTCGACTAGCCAGAAAAGACCACGTGGAATCGTGCGTAAAACGTGGACGGAAACCAGCGGGCCTGCCTCCTTCCCCCAAGTACAACGTACGGTCATTATAGCTGTATATAGACTGAAAGATGCCTCCAATACAGCTATAATGACCGTACGTTGTAATCGGGGGAAGAACGTATCTCAGTTGGCACACCCCAGAACGGTTGACGTGGAGCCAGGTTCTTTTTTTTTTTTTTTTTTTTCATGCAGGTTGATGTGTGGACCCCACTGCCCTGCGGCCTGGAAAAGTTTGGGCGCGGGGGTGTTTTCCAGACCCCACTGGGTCTGGAAACCGGTGTGGAAAGCCCCGAAAGGAATTCCAGACCCCACTGCGCTTGGAAAGAGGTTGCGGAAATGGTGACGGGGCATTTCTACATGGTCCGCGGCCTGGAAATTCGACGCCTACCGGTTTCCAGACCCTTTCCAAGGAGGCGGCCAGTTGAGCAGGGGGGGGGGGGCATGTCCATCAGTTTCCAGACGCGGGCTTCACAGCGTGGACCATGCACCCTTGCCGTGGACCGTTCTGTGTACCCGGAGGCCGTGGCGGACATTCGTATTTTCCCATGGTGTCGGTATTGCCAAGGGTCCTCCCACTCCTCCGATGAAGCGGCCATGCCCGATGGATCCATGGCAATTCTGTTATCGTGGCAGCGACGTCGTCAACCCCTGTACACCGCCTGTTCTGGCCCTGTCGACCGCACAACCTTCACGAACCCATGCAACTCACCAAACCGTCCTCCTTCGTCCCCAACAATGGCTCCCCGTCAGTGCTCCTGTGCTCAGTGCACTCCGGCTACCAATGGTTCGGACGGCACCTCCCACCAACTCTCCAAACCGTCCTCCTTCATCCCCGGCGATGGCTCCCCGTCAGTGCTCCTGTGCTCCGTGCACTCCGGCTACCAATGGTTCGGACGGCACCTCCCACCAACAGCAGGGAGGGACATCCACCCACGCCCCCAACGGTAATTTCCCGTTGCCTGAGCGGACCCGCTCGGGCCACATAGCAACGCACGGCACTTGTGCGGAACCCGCCACATCGGGTTGCACACGGTCACACACGGACTTGTCCTGGAGCAGTGTGGTACCAGGCCATGGTCCACAGCACCCGCCCGACTTGCCTTTTCGGGAAACACCCTTCGGCAGTTTCCTATTCGGGTATGCCATGCCTTTTCCACGGTCTGCGGTGGGGTCCCTTCAAAATGCGTCAAGTTTTTTCCAACCACGGTCGGCCGTTTTTTGTGGCCAACACCAGTTTCCAGCCGCCGGCCAGTGGGGTCCACCCCTGAGTGAGTCATCTGTATTCGTAGATAAATCCAGCGGCCTAGCTCAGTTGGTAAGGCACGCAAGTGGCATTCAGGAGGTCTTGGGTTCAATCCCCATTGGCCTCATGTACCTTCCTGGGCAAGCTTGGCGCCTGCCACCTAGAGATATGTCGTTGGTCCCCCCGAGTGGCATTTAGTAGAGACTGCTGATGTTCATAGGGGGAGGGGACCGGAGGGGAGGCACAGTGACTGGCCCATCGAACGAAGAAGCTCGGTCCTTATGCTACCGGCTGACCCCTGGCCGGTATCGCCCACCTGCTGTGGGGGGGGGGTATCCCACCTGCTGCTGGGTGCAGATCCCGCATGTTCCCTCGTTGGAGGCTTGAGCACGGATGTGGCTGCTACGGGGTTTCCCGTAATACTATAATGACAATAAAAAACTCCTGAAAGGCCGTCCTGTCCAGATTCGACAGGTCATTGAATTGGTTGGGCTTAAAGAATTAGCCTTATTATAAAAAAAAAAAAAAAAAAAAAAAAATTGTAGATACAGGAAAGTGTACGACAGGCTACGGAACAGATCCTGTTCAAGTACAGTCGTCGAATCCAGATTTAATCAAACTACAAAGAATAAAGTAAGTGTGAACGGCGTGGTCAGTTCAACGAGGAAAATTTTGTTTTTTGCCCCTCGTAGATGCGTTTATTTACACTACGCCCCTCGAAACACAGGCTTACCCTGCAGTGCCCTTGGGAACCGGAATCATTTTGGCAGCCCCCTCTTGGTCAAGGATGTATTTATGGGACGCTGGACCCGGTTTCCAGCAGGTGAGGCTCCCCACCAATAGATGGAGCGGCTCACTAGGCAAAGCCTCAATCCCGGTGGTTCTCTTACCACCACTGGGATAGAGGCCTTGCACAAGGGCCTTTAAAAAACAAAAACAGGAAGAGGACCCAACTTTGCACCAGTCCCTTGGTGGAACAGTGCTCTATGGGGCTTTACCATGAAGGTATTATTCTGGGATGGCAAGAGTAGAGTGCAGATCGGGGGGAAGGGGAGGGGGTTCCTACTTTAGGATGAGCAGGATAGCGACAAGGGGGGTAGTTGAGAGGGGACTCGTTGGGAAGCACTATTGTAGCATAGCTATAAGGAGGAAGGCATGGCACAGAACCAACTTCAACCAAGAACGACCAAAGCAAGGAGAAAGCAACAATGCAATGCAGCTGAAGACTGAAAACCAGCAATCTGACTCTTAGACTCACAACTCAGACAATGCACTCATCGTCATTATGTCATGAAGCAAGGAGAGGACATACATGGATGAAAGATCCACCATTGTACAACAGGCTCATGGTGGGAAAACCACAGATGATGGGAGTGGGAAGAAAGGGACGAAATATGAGAGACTCCAAAATAAAAGAAGTGGTATCGCACATGTAGGAACAGAAATCATAATTGTCTCTCTGCAATCCCACGGTCCTCATCAGATCTGAACCTCTGCAATTTCCCTGAAAGAGTTGGCAAGTCTTTGATCTCTCTCTCTCTCTCTCTCTCTCTCTCTCTCTCTCTCTCTCTCTCTCTCTCTCTCTCTCTCTCTCTCTCTCTCGAGGATGGCCAAAATTCTGGTCCCAAGGACCACGCCAAAAAAACAGTCAGCCTCAGTCCTGAGCGGACGTCAAAACCCACCTGCTGCCTCAGCAGCTAGCCCAGCGCTAGCAGACAAAGAAAGTCCAGTCCTAATATAATAGAATAAAAATAAATCCCTCAAGGGCCTAGAGGGACCCAAAGTGGGAGGGGAAAAAAAGGAATGACCCAAAGTGCGTGAGGCAGAGCGTACTCACACTCGCAGTATCTCAAATGTATCTGACCGCATTCACGGCCGTACCTGGATGTATCTGGCAGCAATTCCGTCCAAAAATACGTAAAAAAGTCGTAGTGTGAGTATGCCCGCAGTCTTCCGCTAGTCCGAATAGCCACTTGTGTCGCTTCGAGTCCAAACAAAACTACATCCGACAAGCATCCAACAGACACCCTTATCAAAAAGCCATCCGCAAGGGACTGCATTCCTTCAGCCAGACGACCTGCAAAATTCCCAATGGTCCTCCGTACGCCCGAATAATGCCCACGTCACATAGGACATTGCAATGGCAAATACTTTACTGTTGTCTACCCACCCCGGACTGGTTGGTTTCAATAACTAACCTGGAACAAGCCTGTGTGTTAAAAAAAAACAAAAAAAAACCTGGAACAAGAGGGTCTTCTCTCCCCTATATGCAGGTACTGTGGGAGATCGACACAGCCAGCAAGAGCCACCACCTTGGAGCATTGTCTCCTGGGCTGCCCAATGGTCTTCCAGATTTGGAGATGGTGGGATGCGGTGTGGACAGGCAGCCTGAGCAATCGGGACAGTAGACATCCTTGTTAAAAAAGGGAAGCAAGGGAGGGACTTAACAGGAGACTGACATGCGGCAGCAAGGAAGGGAGGAACTAATTCTGTAGTCTAGACATCTGGCGCCCGGTACTTGGGTGAAGAAGTTTTTTCCCTCCTCTGGCAACCTGCACAGTCAATCCTCTGGATACCAGAGTAATCAATGCTGGCAGGGCTCACAACCACTTTCATTCTGTTTTTCCATTCTGTTAAGGGACGCTGGACCTGTTTTCCAGCAGGTGACGCTCCCCACCAATAGATGGAGCCCCCCCGGGTGCTAGCGGTGTCTGCTCTTACCAGCACCACTAGCATTGCAAGGGGGGGGKGCTCAAAAAAAAAAAAAAAAAAAGGGATGCGGTGTGGACAGAGCTTACCGGAACCCAGTTCTGATGGAGCATGAGGCTCCTGCTGCTAGGAACACAGACAGAAAACCCCCCAGCCTGGACCCCTTATGAAGCTAATCCTCTCCAAAAACCAGGCTGGAAATGGTAATGGTGGAATGGAGAGCCCGATGTACATTTGTGCACGGACAAAACACCTTTGGGTTTCCGCAAGCCAAAGAGCATAATATATTATGGGAGACTACCTCCTGACCAGAACGAAAGCAGCATCGAATGAACTGAAACAATGCATAAATGCCATTGAAAGTGTTTTTTTTTTTTTTTTTTTTTTTTTTTTTTTTTTTTTTTTTTTTTGGGACAATGCTCCAATCTTATYTTGGGGAGCCGCACGTGCTGGGAACCGGGCCCAACGTCCCATTAAGAAAATTTGGAGAACATATACGAAAAAAACTCGAGATAACGGGGCCATTACCCGGCTTTGGCTAAGAATAGGATCATGAGCAATTTTTAGCCTATTAGACAAAAGACCTCATGAGATAGGCTAAACTTCAGAAAAGTATGAAGAAGCTTGAAAAAATATGAGACTGAAGGGTCAAAACTGAACCCACCTACTATCCAAAACTCCCCCCCTCGACAGACGAAACATCAGTCCAGGCTTTCAGTCCTCGTACCAGAACTCACTTGATCTCATACCCCCTGTTGCTAGGGTAAAGGGGCACCACAACCTTCCCCAGTACTGACCAACCTAGTTCTGACAGACAGGAAGTGCCTTCCTCCCTTGACATTTCCCTTAGCGGCAAGCCCCTGACACCAGGTTACAGGGTTAATACCCCAGTGCCGGCTGCGTCGGACGGTCTGGTTATGCCTTCCACCCTCGGCATAACTCCACAGGCCTCAAGCTCCCCCYAGGTCACAGAGCAAAAACTCCTGCACCGGCCTGTGTCGTCCCAGCATCGTCCTTCTAACCTACTTACCTTAACAAACAACCCCTCCCCTGTTGAGAGCCCCCTTACTACCTCCCATCCTCCAATTCTAGCTCCCCCCTTTCCCTCTTTTTTGAAATACCAGGGCCATTACCTGGCTTCGGCTAAGAACAATCTGAGAAGCATAACAAAGGAGAATTCAGACCGAAAAAACCACCTGCCTTGGTGCCTTTCGGCAGCCCAACCCTACCTGCCTCACCCCTATCCCCCAATGCCCAATCTCTACCAAAGCCTCACACCCCCAGATGCCATTGAAAGAGACCCGGTCCTTACTGAAAATATGAAACAACAAAAAATTAAAGACGCAACGAATGCATTCACAGAGGAATGGATTGGACCTAGAAAGAAATAGGCGGAGGTAAAAGACACCCAGAAAAATTGGAGGGCAGAGGAACACACATGGAAATACAAAGTACTGTCTCATTTCCATGTGCTGCACTCGTCATCCCCACCCTCGTGTGTCCTTCTCCCTTCCTGACACCTGTCCTGTTCTGTCCCACTAACCCCTCCTGCCCCCTTCCTTTTCACCCCTCCAACCTAAGAGTCGGAGCATCCTCCTCCCTCAGTCCTATTTAAGCCACAGTACACACAGCACAACAGGAAAGTGAGTGACAGCTGCACAGCCCCAATTGGTCAAGCAGCACATGATGGCCGAACAGCACATGACAATAATTCCAGACCAACTCCCAAAAAAAAAAAAAAAAAAAAAAAAAGAGGTGAGGAGGAGGCAGGCAGATAGTGGTCGAGCGGCACATAATGATAATTGAAGACGGATTGAGGGGTAGAGGAGGTAGAAATGATAGAAAGAAGAAACAATTACATGAAGTCAGGAAAAAACCCTCCAACAGGGAATGCAGAGTCACAAGTGGAGATAAAACAGGGCAACACATGGGACAGGGGGGGGAATGGTGAGAGTTTAAGTCGGGTTCAAGGACAAAGTGGTGACTTGTGAGAGTGGTTCGTGCCTGGCGGTACCTGACTCAACAGGTAGACTGTAACTTTGCCACTGCAGCACGTGACAGATACCTGGCATTGACCTTGGACTAAGGCTTGGACCCCACCGCCCGGCAGCTGGAAAAGTTTTGGCATGGAAGGGCGTTTTCGGACTCCACCGGGCCGCCAGGCGGTTCGCCACCTCGTCTGGCGACGTCGAGTTCAGACCCCACCGCAGTTGCCAAAAGACCGCCGACCGTGTTTCTACATGGGTGGCGGATGGAAAAGTCTCCGCCCGCGGCCGGCGCTCTTTTCCAAAACGCCCTCGAACAGGGCGGGGAGGGCAAAGCGCCAGCCGTTGGCATCGGAGGCCGTGGAGGAGTGGTCCATTGAACGGGCGTGACGGACAAACGTTCGGTCCAGGCCGAGACCCCACAAACGAAGTGCATGTCGCACGAGATAATCAGAACTGGCCGTTGGTGGTCCCAGTAGGTGGTCCCCCGCTGTGGTCCCACTGCACTTTGAGAAGCGGGAAGGCGCAATTCAAATTTCTGTGGTGCGTTAACGGGTATTTTCGAAATCTGCTACAAGTACTTGGGGCGGAGACGAGGCAGACAGTCCATCGCATTGTGTGTCATTCATGTATCCGTGATTGCGCGTTCCCGCCCTTCGTTGTCCGCGGTTGTCTTCTTCGAAGTGACGTGGGGTCGAAGGTCGATCTGCCATGCGCTTTCTCCAGAACATTGCTTGTTTTGGCGGTGGGCGTTTAGTCCGACGTGCTGCCACGTCGCACGTGCGTGGTCTCTGGAGTCGTCATTGGACGCATTCGGATGCCTCCACCGCAGTTCGAACTCTACTGCAGATCCCTGTGTTCAGCTCGGGATGTGCAGCTGCGCGAGCTTGTTTTAGTGGAAGCGGGTGTGCTGATGTGGTGGTTTCTTCGACTATCCCGTCGTTTGCTCCGAGGGTGGTCCCACGAACACCCTCATCAACGTCCTACATCACACACTGCACGCGATCTCCATTCAGCAGTGGAGGTCCTCCCCTGTGGAATCCATCGTTGGAGGTTCGCAGTCCTCCCGCCGAACGTCAGCACGTGAATACAGGGCACGTGGTGATCGAACATGGAAGTCGTCCATCAGCACATTCGGCTTCCGGGGTTAGTCGGTGGTGTTCCTTCGCGGATTGTCCTGTCGTTTCCATTGTGGGTAACGGGTGTTGTGTGACGCGTGTAGGCGGTTTATCACTGGTCGTTGTGTCCCTTGTGGCCGCAGCAGTCGTTCTCATCGCCGTGTTCGTAGTGGGGGTGTTGGTGTTGTCCATACTTGTTTTGTTTCTTGCCATTGTGCTTGTGTCCAGGCGTCGGTAGTCGACCCCGACACGGGTGTGGCGAAAGGCGCCGCCTTTGGTTCCTGTTTGTCTGTTCTTGTAGCTAGCAAGTGTGCGATGGATYGYAGGGGTTGGATGGGTGATGTCGTCGGTGGTTTCGAYGGCGGTGATAACATGCACGATGGACAGCTGAATGCACGGCCCCATCAAGGTCAACATGCACAAAGCATGCAATCATTCGCAGCCATGCGTCAGTCCTCATCGGCCATGCAACATCCGTACTACCATGCACGAAGTGCTTCTCCGCATACGCCCTTCGGTGGAGGTTGTGTTGGGCAGTCCCCGGAGAGCATACAAACGTCGGGTGTTCCACGTGGTGGTCCACATGCGCGGGACATGCGGGGACGACGTTTTCGCCGTTCGTGATCATCCTTTGTCAGTCCAGCAGCAGTACGATTTGTACGGATCGCAGGGATGCGTAGAAAGCACGAGCATGGCTGCCGGCTTCGGCATGGCATCAGCGCCCACACAGAGCATGACCGCGGGTGGCAGGCATTGGTCTCCCCAATGCTCCTAGGGCGCTGGGAGGTTGTTCGGCGCGCGTTGTTCTCCATCTCCACCGGATGGCGTTGACACGGATGCCCCTTGGAATCGGGCGAACGCAAGGCCTGTGTCCCCCGAGACTCGCGTGGAGTCGGTGTACGATGAAGGCACGGGGGGATCGGAAGCGGGCGACGAAGATGGTCAGGGAGAGCAAGGAACCACCGTTCCCATGGTCGCCAGTTCGACGGCCGGGCAGGGTGATGTTCACGGCCAGGGCGCGGGCGATGGAGCGGTGGGCGGTGGAGCGGTCGGCGGACAACCTGCGAATGGCCGCCCGCCAGCTCAGAAGAAGGCAAACGTCCCATGGACGTTGGATGAGTGGGTGAAGCTTGCGATTTTGATGGGTGAGGATGATGCCCTTATGGCCGATGCTAACGGCCAGCACCGATGCAAGCAGAGGAAAGAGCGGTATGTATGGGTGAATGATAGGATGGTAGACGCAGGCTTCAAGCATAGGAGCGGTGAAGACTGCCGCAAGAAGTGGTCGAACATGCTAGCGACGGCCAAGCTCATCGTCGAGAAGTGTGAAGCGTCTGGACAACCATCGTATTGGGGTATGTCTACGGAGGAACGAAAGGAGAAGAGTCACCCGCTTTCGTTTGAGAAGGCTGTGTGGGATGCTATGCAGTGGCAGCTAAATCGGTCGTCGATTAGGTGTGACAACACGATGGCCTCAGAGAACCTTCCGGGCGTTGGAACAGATGCACCACTGGCGGGAGGATCGGACGGAAGATGCGCAGAGGAATCGGACAATTCTGCTAAATCGACGCGGACAGCTCAGAAGAAGGCGAGAAAGGAAGATCCTGGCAGCAGCATGTCGAGTTTGGGCAGGGCCATGGAGGATTCCACTCGATCTTACTGCGATGGCCTGGACAAAGCGGCTTCCACCCTTGCCAAAGCCACCGCAGACGCGGGGTGTGCAATGGCTGCTCAGATAGGGGACGTGGCCGAAGCAATGCGGGGTGGCAATAGTGTTTTAGAGTTGCTAGTGGGTGTCCTTGCTCGGAGGGGGGCGAACGTAGGTGACGGCGACGAAGGTCCGACTCATCGGTCTACGGACCCTTCGTCAAGATGATCACTTCCTTTTTGTCGTTTGGTTTCTTCGTGTTTGCGCTTTGATATCTTCTTATATAGATTTACGAATATATATATATATATATATATATATATATATATATATATATATATATATATATATATATATATATATATATATATATATATATATATATGTTATTTCCTCGGAAGGTAAAGTAACGGTCGTCGACGTGTCCCCGCCGGTGCTGGTCGACCAAGAGGAGACACATGCATATACATGTATGTACATATACATGTATATGCATGTGTCTACCCTCGCTCGACCACCACCGGCGGGGAGACGTCGACGGCCATTCGTTTTCCTCCCAAGGAAAGATTCATGACCCCGGCCATGATGTAAGGAAAAATACATTAAATCACATAATGCAGAAACGAAAAAAAAAAAGGTTCAAATTATTAAAGTGTTGACGTGACAACGTCGACGGAGTCAGTGGAACGGCCGGGCTATTCGCACCTCGACTCGTATAAAAAAGGTGTCCGCATCGGCTGCGATCGCAGTCTTTGCACAAGATAAAGTATCGTGCCTGTGCGTTGTTTGTCCTCATCGGCGTGCTTTCATTTTTTGAAGTTGGGTGTGGTCGGCTGTGCGCTTTGCCAAGTGCTGAACAACGAATCGGGCGGCTCCATTCGCCGTGAGGGAGAGGGGGAGGACTCTGGAGAGAGAGAGAGAGAGAGAGAGAGAGAGAGAGAGAGAGAGAGAGAGAGAGAGAGAGAG